CTGTTATATGGTTTATTAGCATGATCCTATCTGTAAGCATGATTTGCTTGTTAAGTTATTTGAGAAGTTTATATGCTGATGAATTTAAGTGAGCAGTCTTATATATATATATGAGCATGCCAGCTGATATAATAGGGTGCAAACATCTAGAAAGTATATGTTAGATCTAAAGATGAGTTGAGATGAGTTTATTGCTTATAAACAATCAATGTTTTCAAAGTATATGCTAGAATGCTTTGCATGGTTGAGTGTGGTTATACTTAGCTTCGTGCTAACGGGTGTTTTCCTATTTGTCTATGTGTTGCTTACAAAACCCCTTTCAGGTGGGCCCAGCAATGAAAAGAGATCGAGTTAGATTAGTCTCTTAGTTTGAGATGTCTAAACTCCAGTTCTTTTAATGATCATGTTATGGATTTTAGACTTTATGACTCTATGTTTTGAGGATGATGTAGACTATTTGGGTGACGTTTTTCTCCCTTATGTTTCCAATATTTATATTTGGTTGCCAGACTTAATCTTATTTCTAGTTTTACCCCTTAGTCTGTGCAATCACCACGGAGTGGTGGTTGTGGCGGTGACACTCCCACTATTTATCTTTTAGTTATTTCCGCTGCTTAGTGATGTTAATGATTGTTTAGAGTTGTATTTAAGAGTTAGAAAAGTGGGGTGTTACATCTGAGGCATATAAAACTGTGTGTGCAAGGGATGGATGGATGGAATTAAGGAGCCAAGACATAACCATATTGTTTACGCGGTGCCAACAAGCATGATCAGGATGGATAGAATCTGGCATGGGAAGGGAACCATCAACAAAACAGAATTTATTTCGGCATTTCAACGGCATCGTGATTGCCTGAGCCCATAGATTGTAGTTTTCAATGCCGGTAAGAATGTTTCCAATGAAAGTGGCGCCTATACCATCAGAAGAATGGAGATAATAGTGACTCTCGGCATCAAAAGGAACAACATGGTGTTGTGATTGCTTAGCAGAGGTTGAGTCATCATGGGTATTAATGGTGGTGATGGGATTTGTGTGCTGGTTTGAAGAATTTGTTAGTGAAGGAGTGGCCATTGGCGTGAAGTGATACGGCCAAAAGAGATATTGCAGCAGAAAAATAAATTAACAGGGAGAAGGAAAAAATTCTATTGATACCATGTAAGGAGTTGAGAATAAACTGCAAAGCATTGTTGCAGAGAAAGATAAGGAATATATATATATATATATATATATATATATATATATATACAACTATGCTAACGGTAGAAAATATGAGAAAGGTAAGAGAACCAATCATCTAGGAATTTACCTAAACTATGATCCTAAGAATATGAAAATAATTATGAATACATATATAAAATATCCTATAAGATATGTAATATAAATATAGATATTTATTCTTCTTCAATAGACAGTATTTGGTAGAAGAAAATCATACATGCCCCATAAAAGTTGTGTCTGTTAGTGTTATTAATATTTAATAATGTTTTATTGTATGCTTTGTAATAGTGGTTCTCTTTCCTTTGGTTTAGTCTTACCTAGAGTTTAGGAGACTATAGTGGGAGTCTCTCTATAGGTCTCTATCTGATGTAATTCTTGGAAATTGATTTTGAAATTCAAAACTATTGTTCTCATATGGTATTAGTTGCGTAAGGTTTCTTACGTTTCTCAAACACCGAACCCACGCCCCACACCCAACCAATTTTTTTTTTCCGGCAATGTCGTCTAATTCTTCTGAACGGACAATCACCACCACCGCCCCATCGACGCCGATGACCAATTCCCTAACCTCCGCGAATCATTTTGTCTCAATGAAACTCACCACCCACAACTTTCTTTTCTGGCGTACCCAGCTCGTACCCTTTCTACGATGCCAAGGTTTATTGGGATACATCGACGGAGAAATTCCTTGCCCATCAGCGACGATCAGCACTGCCCCACGGTTCGGTGACTCCACGGCAGTTGCTACTGCCTCTGTGCCGATTCCTAATCCGGCGTATAGCTCCTGGATTCAGCAAGATCAGTCAATCTTGTCACTGATTATTTTCTCCATCTCCGACGGGGTGATGCATCTCGCCGTCGACCGAGGCACTGCGAGGGAGGTTTGGCTGTCCATTACGTCGGCGTTGGCCTCGTCCACACGTGCGCGATGTCTCAGCCTCTTAGGGTAGTTCCAAACTCTCAGGCAAGGGAATGGAACGTCGATCGAGTACCTGGGGAAGGCACAGCTGCTTGTGGAGGCCTTGTCTCTCGCCGGTCGTCCGCTGTCCTTGAATGAGTAGATCCTCTACGTCCTCAGAGGACTGAGACCGGAGTACAGAGCGCTGGCCAGTAGTCTCACCGTGACTGGTACGCCGGTCACATTGCCGCAGCTGGCCGATCTGCTCCAGGCGCAAGAATTCATCATCTCAGATGAATTTCTGGTGGCAGGTCACCCAGAACCCACTGGTTCCCCGGTGGCTTTCTATGCAGGTCGCGGTCAGCATCACGCCGGCAATCCGATCTCCGGGGGACGACAGAACTCCGGTGGCGGACGTAAGGGTGGTAGAGGCGGAGGTCGTGGCAGGAATGGCAGAGGAGGGCGTGGCAATGGACCCAAATGTCAGATCTGTCGGGCTTTTGGGCATTCTGCGTTTTATTGTTACCAAAGATACAATGACCGCACACCACCCAACGCTAATGTTGCGGTCTCCGTGGAAAATCAGTCCGGTGGTCACTCGGGTGACGCTTGGTTTCCCGATATGGGAACATCCACACACGCCACTCCTGACGAACAGATGATGAGCCATTCAGATTCGTACACCGGTGGAGATGTTTTGAAGGTCGGCAACGGCGCAGGTTTGGGGGTTTCCCGTGTGGGTCGTGCAATTATTCCTTCCGTGTCTCATAATTTACACATGTCTCGCATATTACACGTACCAAAATTGTCGTTACCTCTTTTGTCCGTACACCAATTTACTAATGAAAATAACGTGTACTTTGAGTTTCATAAAAATCTTTTTTTTTTTTTTTTTGTGAAGGACTGCACCACCAAGGCGGTTCTTCTTAAAGGTTTCACCTCGGGGGGCTTGTACAAGTTGTTGGTGCCACGGTCCCATTTTGCGTATGTCTCCGCGCGGGCTTCATCTACAGTGTGGCATCAATGGTTAGGCTACCCACATCATCGAGTCCTTCAGCGTGTCCTGAAAAACTGTCCGGTCACAACAAATAAAACCAGTTCGTCTGAAGTGTGTACGGCGTGTCAACTCGGCAGTTTCGATGTATTAGATTTAATTTATACGGACATATGGGGTCCGTCACCTGTTATTTCTGATTCTAGATGTCGCTACTTTGTTTTATTTGTAGACGATCACTCACGCTTCACCTGGTTTTATCCCCTTATGGATTAAAACCGATATATATATAAAGTTTTTGAGTTGTTCAGGGCAATGGTAAAACGACGTTTTTCGCGTTCTATCAAAGCCATTCAGTCTGATCTAGGGGGTGAATATCGTCGCCTCCATAAAGTTTTTGAGTCTCTTGGTATTTCACACCGATAATCGTGTGCATATACCCATAAGTAAAACGGTCGAGTCGAACGCCGAAACCGGCACATAGTCGAAACTGGCTTAGCTTTAATGGCTGAAAGTTCAACCCCTCTAAAATATTGGGACTATGCTTTTGAAACAGCCACATACCTCATAAATTGCCTCCCATCTTCTGCTATACAGTTTCAAAGTCCATACTATCTGATATACAAAACCCAACCTACATATACGTTTCTCCGTGTCTTTGGGTGCCGGTGTTATCCTTATCTAAGGCCTTATAATCGGCACAAGATAGAATACCGCTCGGCACCCTGTATCTTCTTAGGTTACCCTGTTTCCTTTAGGGATATCGTTGCATGGATCCACGCACGGGGAAAATCTTTATCTGTCGTCACGTCCGATTTGACGAAACTATTTTTCCATTTGCTATGCAGTCTACACAGGTTAACACCGGTCCAACGCCACCTGTACCGTGGGGAGCTGGGCCAATAGTGGTTCACAATGACTATCAACCCATGAGTTATGAAACACCGCTGCCACAGGAGCCAGAGCCCATAGCTCTACCAGCTCCCACTCAGCCAAAGCCACGTGGCCGCAAGCCTCGGGCCACAACGGGTCCACCTCCAGACCCATCGCATACAATGCGTACTCGGCGCAAAACTCACGGGACTGGTGAAGAGTTTCATGCTCTAACTGTCACTTCAGATCCAACTTGCTACTCCCAAGCTGTGGGTCACCCACATTGGCGTGACGCCATGGATCAGGAGTTTAATGCTCTTTTACATAACAACACCTGGCAGTTAGTACCAGCTACTCCACGTATGAACATCATTGGCTGCAAGTGGGTGTTTCACACAAAACGGAAGGCTGATGGAACAATTGAATGACACAAGGCCCGCTTAGTTGCAAAAGGGTTCAACCAGGTAGCCGGGGAGGATTTCTTCGATACTTTCAGTCCCGTAGTCAAACCGACTACGGTTCGTATACTGTTCTCGCTGGCTATCTCGAACCAGTGGACTCTACGGCAATTAGACGTTCACAACACTTTTCTTAATGGACACCTGGCCGAGACAGTTTATATGAAACAGCCTCCAGGTTATGAGGATCCCGCACATCCGGGTCATGTGTGTCATCTACAGCGCTCCCTATACGGTCTGAAGCAAGCACCATGGGCCTGGTTCAAGCGGCTACACGAGTTTCTCACGTCAGCAGGCTTTCTGGCTTCCAAGACTGATGTTTCCCTTTTCCATTACACTACTGGGGAATCTCGGGTTTTCTTGTTGGTCTACGTCGACGATATTATCTTGATGGGCAACGACTCACCACTCATTAATACTGTGCTACAACGGCTGTCAACGGCTTTTAAGATTCGGGATTTGGGAACACCGAGTTTTTTCTTGGGCATTGAAACGCTTCCGGTTGACAGTGGTATTATCTTGTCTCAGCGCAGGTAGGACATTCTTGTCCGAGTAGGCATGTCAGAGTGTAAATCCTTGGCTACTCCAGCTGCAGTCACACAATCTGCCACGCCGTCAACGGATGAGTTTGAAAATCCCACACAATATCGTCGGCTAGTGGGGGCTCTACAGTACCTGACTATCACTCGACCGGACCTCTCTTACGCGGTCAACAGCCTGTGTCAGTTCATGCACACACCGACGGATGAACACTGGGGCCTGCTTAAACGAGTTCTGCGCTATGTCAATGGGACACAAGAGTACGACTTACGTATCACACCGTCGTCTAGCACCGACATCCATGCTTATTCAGATTCAGACTGGGCCGGCTGCCCGATTGACAGGAAGTCTACTAGTGGATATGCAGTTTATCTTGGCACCAATTTGGTATCGTGGCTATCACGGAAATAGCGCACCGTGGCTCGGTCGTCGACAGAAGCAGAGTACAAGGGTCTAGCAGATGTCTCGGCAGAAGTCACCTGGGTCGTGTCACTCTTCCGGGAACTTGGGTTGCATTCTGGTAAACCGGCTACTCTGTGGTGTGATAATCTTGGCGCAACGTATCTGGCGGCCAACCCAGTTTTCCATGCCAGGACCAAGCACGTGGAAATCGACTATCACTTTGTTCGGGACAAGGTAGCTTCCGGGGATTTCATCGTAAGTTTTGTGTCTACGAAGGATCAGCTGGCAGACATCTTCACCAAACCGTTACCTGCTCCGCGTTTTCAGACTCTTCGAGACAAGCTCAATGTAGTCTCACAACCCCCTTGAGCTTGAGGGGGTGTGTTAGTGTTATTAATATTTAATAATGTTTTATTGTATGCTTTGTAATAGTGGTTCTCTTTCCTTTGGTTTAGTCTTACCTAGAGTTTAGGAGACTATAGTGGAAGTCTCTCAATAGGTCTCTATCTGATGTAATTCTTGAAAATTGATTTTGAAATTCAAAACTCCTGTTTTCATCGTGTCATATATGTTTACCTTAATATCTTATCGAGTCAACCTGGGTTAGTATCTTTAACAAAAGAATTAATAAAACAAATAAATGCAAGTATTATATTTTTGTGAAATTTAATCGCAAACACTACAGATGTATAGAAGTAAACAAATCCTACGCTAGCTAGCTAGAGTCCTAGAAACTTGAAATAGGCTATTAGGGACATCTTAGTTCCCGCATGGTTTAGTTCAATAGTTTAGTGGGCAGTATTTGGGGTAAGAGACCAAAGTTTGAATTTCGGCGGCGGCAGTGTGGGAATTATGTTCAAAGTGGGCAAATTTCTTGTGCACACCGGCATTTGGCCATGTCTACTAACCCATTGAGTTACTGTGATTTACATCCTCCCACATGCTCTATCGGGTCGGAATGTGAGGGGCCCTTAGGGTTGGGGATTCAGTCTTTTTGGGTAAGTTAGTCAACATTTGATTTAATTTGGTAATTATAAGATTTTAAATTTAATTATATTTTTTATAGGAATTGTCTATTAACTTTTTTGGTACGAATTTGTCACTTAAGGGCAAAGAAATATGCTACTACAGAGAGATACTAAAAATACATAATTTATATGTCGTTGATGACCCTATATTGTACGTATTCACAAATTCTCTGTATTTTGACTAAGAAACATAATTTATATTATAAAAGTTCATAATTTCAATGCTAAAAATACACAATTTATACATTGTTTAGGATCAGAGTCATCCATGGTAATATGGTATAACAACTCGAAAGAGAATGAATAGGAACTGGAAAGGAGTTGGAGAAACCATAGAAGCAATGAATATTTTGTCATGTAAAAAAATCGTCATGGGTCCTGAAAACGCCTTTAAAAGTGAAGTTTTCTACAGCCTCAAAGCCCAATTGAAAGCCCATCCACAAACGTCTTTAAAAGAGAAGGAGATATCTCAGTCTCCGCATCTCCCGCCTTGAGAAACTGATCGCAATTTAGCCGTTGCTTTGCTCCTGCTCAAACAGCAATGGAAACCTTCCGATCTTAGAGGAAACGGTTACTCTCAAATGAATGAAAATGTCTCCAACTCTTCCTTTTTACTGCTCTGCTCCTGCTCGATCTCCCGGTCATACTCTAAAACTTGCTTCAAACTTCACGCCGTCGATCGCCTCCGACGTTGATTAAATACTCGCCGTCGATGGATTCCGATCGACGTCCCAACTCTTCCTCTTTACGCCGTGATCAATGCTGAATATGAGGTAGTGCTCTATTATGAATTATCCTTTATACTTGGCGGGTGATCGATAGTACTGGTTCTGATTCTTCATTGAACTATGTGAACCTGTTGCTTTTGAAAGGATATTGAACTCTGTTCTTATTTTGTCAATGCAGAGTGTGAAGGAAAAAATTGAGCCAAGTTGCACGTTCCTGATGTTCTATCATTCTATCTCTTTCCAACGGTACATACAAATTATTTGCCTAAAACAATTTTAATTTTCAATTCTTACTCTGATTATTTTTTGCGGATGATATAATATTTTACAAGGTACTGCAGATAATTTCTAACTTAAATAAAACAATAATGCAATGGAAATAGATTCCAGCTTACACGACCATGGCTAAGTAGAGTTTTACAGCTTATGAGATTGTATCAACCTCTGTGCAAATTTAATGAGAATGGAAAACTGATTGTATTGAACTTTCTTTTTGGATTCCTTTTTAATACTTTTGCCTCGCTATTCTTGTGTCTATGAGTGCAGGATTACACATCTTTTGGTCGCCAAAAGATAGTATTATGAATACTAGGTGTTGGAGATCATCATGGTTGTCCTTATCATCATTTCAGGTTTTGCTCTTCTCTGAAATTGCAATCTGTTATTTCCATTATAGTTAGCAAGTTTGCCTACTCTTATAATTTGGAGTGCTTAACTGCACGGCATAGCTTTCCAGCTAGCGGTTATATATTTACCTCCATATAAATCAAGTTAATGGCAGATCAAAAGTTTGAAGTTGTAGAAGAATTGATTTTGTTGTTTTTCTACTTGGCATTTCTGGCACTCCGAATGCTAAAACTCATAAAAAAGAAAGCAAGTAACATGAAACACAGTTCCTTGATGATAGTGTCACCATACGGTATTAATTATTACATTTCTAAACAGTCAATAATTTATGTTTGCCGTTGCAAAAGTATCAAACAACAATTTTTCTGTTTACTTGTTCCAAAAAGGGGGAAAAAAAATCTAATTTGCTAGTTCAGACAAAAATGACAAATAATTATTGCATATTTTACTGGTAATTCTTGCAGCAAAAACTTAAACATGTGGCTATGTGAGGCAGAGGTGGCTTGATACAATGATACTAGCTACTTGATCATGTCCCTTCTTCTTGAGGGCAATCCAATCCTTTAGATCCTATATAAGAATGTTAAAATCAGCTTTTAGGGACCACTGGAAACTCTCAATGCTCTGATTCTTTGCATAATATATTATACTCTTTTTTTTTTAGTACTACTGACTCTGTTACAATGTAGTATCTGTTCATAGTTATTTTCTCAATCTACCGAAGTACAAAGAGTCAATACCGTCTCCATTAAAGCTCAAACTCATGACCTCCCATTTAGAAGAGCCCCTCCACACCAGTAGACCGCAAGGTCATTCGCAATGTATTCTACTCCTTGATTCAATTATTTGTCTGTTTTCAATTGCACCTGGTTTCGTTTTCTGCAAATTTATGGGCAAAGACAGCCTTTACACAGAGGACAGTAAAGTAAATCACGGGGCTATGAACTATCTGGGACATTGTACGAATTGACTATACTCCTTCCTACACATGTAATAGGATGATAATTGATTTCTGCTGGCTTTTATTTATAGCAACTTCCTAGGTAAGTTAAATATGGCATAAATAACCCTTTTGGTTGAAAGGCCAGCTGGTGAAGAACGGTAGGTTGGCATAAGATAAGAGTTCAGATGGGCCAATTTTGGGTCTGGCTGACTATAATTACATGATCCTAACCCTATGATGATGGTCTCAAAAGATTCCTCTTTATCTTTCTGTATTAGTTCTTTGGATTGGAACTTGAAAGTTGGAATTTATTTATTTTCTGACTACTGGCTGAACTACTTTTTGTAATAGAGTTATCTCCAAGAGTGAATAGTTGATTTGTTATAGAAGCTATTTCCATGGTTTTGATATGAAAATTAAAATAATAATCCAGTAATTTAGGACATTTTTCAAATAAACTACTAATACTCATTTTGTATCTCTGTATCATGTTAAAGAGTTTTGAGTCACTCACATACTTAAATGGCATGTAGTGACCCCTCCCATGTGGGAGGTCATGAGATCGATACTATAATGTAATAGTCACGTAATAATGAGAATAAGCAGAATACTATAACCAAAAAATTGAAAAAGCAAGCTGTCATTTTTTATTTTCTTACATTTTTTTACATCAAACATATATTAAATATATGTGCATGTCTACATATAATATATTAACAAAGGGAAATTCAGCAGGAATTATCTCATTTTCAAGCTGACTCATGGTTTAATTTCTTTGGTGGACGGTGGAATTTTCTTCTTATCTTGGTGTTGGAATTGGTACAGAATTGAACAGCGACAAAGGTATGTATGAAATTTCTTTGTGGATTGAAATTTAGAAATGTCGTTTAGTATTTCACGAAAAACAGTGACAGATAAATAATACATATATATACAGAAGACATAACCAATGAAGATATGCCACAAACTTGCATGAGAAAAGCATTTTGTTTGTGGGTCAGGGATCACAGGCCCCTACCCACATGTAAAAGCCTTTGCTTGTTGTAATGATAGTGGCACGTAGAGGTTAGTCTGCTCCAGTCATTGAAGAGTGGATATGCATGCATCTAGTAATGCGTCGTTTGACTATATATTTATATATCAGGTAAACAAATTTCAATCATTCTTCCGTGAGCTACATCTTGTTTGGGTAGATTTGGTTTGATAACAAAGCGTCGCATACATGATACCAAATTGAATGAGTGAATCTGAGTTTACCACGAAATACATTGATATTGATATAGATATATTGTGAATAATAATTTTTTAGAAGTTTGTACATTTTTTATGATTAGATCAAATATGTTAGATTAGAGATTGAATTCAAACTTAATAAATTGTATATATGCTCTAAAATGTAAATAAAAGCGTGAAAGGTACAAGCATATATAAGATTTGATGTGGAAAGTTGAAGGAGAAAATCATATTTTAAAAATACCAAAAATGTTCAATTCACTAAATGTCACATTAAAAAAATATTATTAGTTCGAACTTAATTAATTTAATATAAAATATAATATGCGATGTAAATAATAATATTTCAGTATAATTTAATTTTGAATGTAATCATTTTAATTTTGTTAAAATTATATTTTATATAATTTAATTTTTAATTAATTTATTTTTAAGATTAGTCTTGTTTTAATCGTTTTTCAATATTGGTCTTGTTTTAATTGTCTTGATAAGATATTTGAATTGATATAATTTATGTTTAATAATATAAAATTTATGTATAAGTATTTAACAAAATATATAAATACATAAAAACAAAATAAAGGATACAACAGGAATTTTTTAAAAATAGAGGCAAAATAGGAATAAAATTGTGCGCCATATTTGGCATGGATGAATAGTACTATGTCATGTTTGGCGCAACATGTTCACCATCGACTATAACTTTGTAGTTTTTGCGTCTTTGTTGGAAGCGAAATTCGCTATTCTTGTTATCAATTTGTAATTTTACAGTCTTCCTTGAAAATGGTCTTAGATGGCTCAAGGTTTAAG